CCGCTTGACCCCATCCCCTCCTCTCTTCTCCAGACCATCTCCGGTGACCTTCTCCCCTACCTCACCTCGCTGATCAACTCATCCTTGACCGCTGGCTATGTCCCTTCCGTCTTCAAGAGAGCGAGAGTTGCACCCCTTCTCAAAAAACCAACACTTGATCCCTCTGATGTCAACAACTACAGACCAGTATCCCTTCTTTCTTTTCTTTCCAAAACTATTGAGCGTGCCGTCTTTAGCCAACTCTCTTGCTATCTCTCTCAGAATGACCTTCTTGATCCAAACCAGTCAGGTTTCAGGACTGGTCATTCAACTGAGACTGCTCTTCTCTGTGTCACGGAGGCTCTCCGCACTGCTAAAGCTAACTCTCTCTCCTCTGCTCTTGTCCTTCTAGACCTGTCTGCTGCCTTTGATACTGTGAACCATCAGATCCTCCTCTCCACCCTCTCTGAGCTGGGCATCTCCGGCGCGGCTCACTCTTGGATTGCGTCCTACCTGACCGGTCGCTCCTACCAAGTGGCGTTGCGAGAAGCTGTCTCCGCACCACGTGCTCTCACCACTGGTGTCCCCCAGGGCTCAGTTCTAGGCCCTCTCCTATTCTCGCTATACACCAAGTCACTTGGCTCTGTCATATCCTCACATGGCCTTTCCTATCATTGCTACGCTGACGATACACAACTAATCTTCTCCTTTCCCCCTTCTGATAACCAGGTGGCGAATCGCATCTCTGCATGTCTGGCAGACATATCAGTATGGATGACGGATCATCACCTCAAGCTGAACCTTGGCAAGACAGAGCTGCTCTTCCTCCCGGGGAAGGACTGCCCGTTCCATGATCTCGCCATCACGGTTGACAACTCCGTTGTGTCCTCCTCCCAGAGTGCGAAGAGCCTTGGCGTGACCTTGGACAACACCCTGTCGTTCTCCGCTAACATCAAGGCGGTGACCCGATCCTGCAGGTTCATGCTCTACAACATTCGGAGAGTACGACCCTGCCTTACACAGGAAGCGGCACAGGTCCTAATCCAGGCACTTGTCATCTCCCGTCTGGATTACTGCAACTTGCTGTTGGCCTGGGCTCCCTGCCTGTGCCATTAAACCCCTACAACTCATCCAGAATGCCGCTGCCCGTCTGGTGTTCAACCTTCCCAAGTTCTCTCACGTCACCTCGCTCCTCCGCACACTCCACTGGCTTCCAGTTGAAGCTCGCATCTGTTACAAGACCATGGTGCTTGCCTATGGAGCTGTGAGGGGAACAGCACCTCCGTACCTTCAGGCTCTGATCAGTCCCTACACCCAAACGAGGGCATTGCGTTCATCCACCTCTGGCCTGCTGGCTCCCCTTCCTCTGCGGAAGCATAGTTCCCGCTCAGCCCAGTCAAAACTGTTCGCTGCTCTGGCACCCCAATGGTGGAACAAGCTCCCTCACGACGCCAGGACAGCGGAGTCACTCACCACCTTCCGGAGACATTTGAAACCCCACCTCTTTAAGGAATACCTGGGATAGGATAAAGTAATCCTTCTACCCCCCCCCCCCCCCCCCCTAAAAAATAAAAAACATAAAATTTGTAAAGTGGTTATCCCACTGGCTATAGGGTGAATGCACCAATTTGTGAGTCGCTCTGGATAAGAGCGTCTGCTAAATGACGTAAATGTAAATGTAATGTAATGTCTGATGAAACCAAGATTGAACTCTTGGCCTTAATGCCAAGCGTCACGTCTGGAGGAAACCTGGGGTGGCAGCATCATGCTGTGGGGATTTTTCAGCGGCAGGGACTGGGAGACTAGTCAGGATCGAGGGAAATATAAACGGAGAAAAGTACAGAGATCCTTGATGAAAACCTGCTCCAGAGTGCTCAGCACCTTAGACTGGGGCGAAGGTTCACCTTCCAACAGGACAATGACCCTAAGCACACAGGCAATAAAACGTAGGAGTGGCTTCGGGACAAGTCTCTGAATGTCCGTGAGTGGCCCAGCCAAAGCCCAGTCAGCCCCATCCAACCTGACAGAGCTTGAGAGGATCTGTAGAGAAGAATGGGAGAAACACCCCAAATACAGGTGTGCCAAGCTTGTAGCGTCATACCCAATAAGACTCAAGGCTGTAATCCAAAGGTGCTTCAACAAAGTACTGAGTAAAGGGTCTGAATATTTATGTAAATGTGATTTCAGTTTTTTATCTTTAACAAATTTGCAAACATTTCAAAAATCTGTTTTTGCTTTGTCATTATGGGGTAACGTGTGTAGATTGAACAATTTAATCCATTTTAGAATAAGGCTGTAACGTAACAAAATGTGGAAAATGTCAAGGGGTCTGAATAGTTTCAGAATGCACTGTAGCTCTCCTTCACACTCACACAGTGCAAGCTAGGCTAATGACCTAACTTATATTAATGCTAATAGGAATGCTAAAATACTAACAGTGATTGAAGTCGGCCGCGGCTGACTGGTACGGAAAAAGCGGCACCTCTTTCTACTCTCTTTCCTACTGCTTGAGTAACGACACTTCTTATAGAATATCAGAGCAGAGAAGTCTTGTCGATAACAGTTACTTGTGTGTCTGAGGTTAGCACTACTCTGGTTCTCCCTACCTTGTAAATGGTGAAAAAAGCTGAAAAACAAACATTCGTTCCTCTCAGGCTTTGCTTGACAGATCGTTGATCGTTCATGATAACTTTGGACCCCCATTGAACTCACCATTTGTCCTGATTGTCCCATTATCCATCGAAACGATTTAGCGGCGTTAAAGCCAACACCAGAGGTTGATTAAGCAAACTGCCACACGTCTAAGTGGCCACTTTGCCCTATTGCACTGGTTCTTCCCTAAGTGCGTCATGCTAGCGTACATTGTTTACTCGTGTTGGGTAGGCCATTTCATCTTCCGACCTCCGTGTAATGCTGAGGTAAAATAAATGCATTTATAAACCAAAATACATGGATGACTGATCAAGGAGACATGACCTGGGCAGTCTCCAGTTGAGACAGTTTGCTCCAGGGAGAATGGGATACCTGAGAAGGAGGTAACTGCAACGTTTACATTAAGCTGTGTAGCAAGGGTACTTTCACAAGAGTTTGTCAGGTTTTAAGGCAAGCAATATTTTGTAACTCAAGCCCGATTTAGGTTTCTCACCGATTAATATTTCATGACAAATCCATTTTGGCAAATCTGAAATGGCACGCTATTCCTTATATAGTGCACTACTTTTGACCATGGCACCATGCAGCCTCTGAGATGGGGTGTGTACAGTGGGGAAAAAAAGTATTTAGTCAGCCACCAATTGTGCAACTTCTCCCACTTAAAAAGATGAGAGAGGCCTGTAATTTTCATCATAGGTACACGTCAACTATGACAGACAAAATGAGGAAAAAAATTCCAGAAAATCACATTGTAGGATTTTTAATGAATTTATTTGCCAAATTATGGTGGATGGAATAAGTATTTGGTCAATAACAAAAGTTTTATCAACTACTTTGGTTATATACCCTTTGTTTGGCAATGACACAGGTCAACGTTTGCTGTAGTCTTCACAAGGTTTTCACACACTGTTGCTGGTATTTTGGCCCAGTCCTCCATGCAGATCTCCTCTATGAGCAGTGATGTTTTGGGGCTGTCCGCTGGGGCAACACTGGACTTTCAAACTCCCTCCAAAGATTTTCATTGGGGTTGAGATCTGGAGATACTGGCTAGGCCCAACTCCATGGACCTTGAAATGGCTTTCCTTACGAAGCCACTCCTTCGTTGCCACGGGCGGTGTTTGGGTTTGGGATCATTGTCCATGCTGAATAGGACCCCAGCCATCGTTTCATATTCAATGCCCTGTTGGCTGATGGAAGGAGGTTTTCACTCAAAATCTCACGATACATGGCCCCATTCTCTTTCCTTTACACGGATCAGTCGTCCTGGTCCCTTTGCAGAAAAAACAGCCCCAAAGCATGATGTTTCCACCCCCATGCTTCACAGTAGGTATGGTGTTCTTTGGATGCAACTCAGTATTCTTTGTCCTCCAAACACGACGAGTTGAGTTTTTACCAAAAAGTTCTATTTTTGTTTCATCTGACCATATGACATTCTCCCAATCCTCTTCTGGATCATCCAAATGCACTCTAGCAAACTTCAGACGGGCCTGGACATGTACTGGCTTAAGCAGGGGGACACGTCTGGCACTGCAGGATTTGAGTCCCTGGCGGCGTAGTGTGTTACTGATGGTAGGCTTTGTTACTTTGGTCCCAGCTCTCTGCATGTCATTCACGAGGTCCCCCCGTGTGGTTCTGGGATTTTTGCTCACCGTTCTTGTGATCATTTTGACCCCACGGGGTGAGAACTTGCGTGGAGCCCCAGATCGAGGGAGATTATCAGTGGTCTTGTATGTCTTCCATTTCCTAATAATTGCTCCCACAGTTGATTTCTTCAAACCAAGCTGCTTACCTATTGCAGATTCAGTCTTCCCAGCCTGGTGCTGGTCTACAATTTTGTTTCTGGTGTCCTTTGACAGCTCTTTGGTCTTGGCCATAGTGGAGTTTGGAGTGTGACTGTTTGAGGTTGTGGACAGGTGCCTTTTATACTGATAACAAGTTCAAACAGGTGCCATTAATACAGATACCGAGTGGAGGACAGAGGAGCCTCTTAAAGAAGAAGTTACAGGTCTGTGAGAGCCAGAAATCTTGCTTGTTTGTAGGTGACCAAATACTTATTTTCCACCATAATTTGCAAATAAATTCATAAAAAATCCTACAATGTGATTTTCTGGATTTCTTTTCCTAAATTTGTCTGTCATAGTTGACGTGTACCTATGATGAAAATGACAGGCCTCTCTCATCTTTTTAAGTGGGAGAACTTGCACAATTGGTGGCTGACTAAATACTTTTTTTCCCCACTGTATATATGTGTTGGGCCAGGGTGAAGCTCATCTTGATCCTATTGATTCTGCTGTGGTGGAGGCAATCTGCATGTCCAAGGTAACCCTGCTGCTTGGCTTGCATTTTAAACAACACAATATACATTTTTAACTCTGCATGAAATGGTGCCAAGTGGACATATTTCCAATAGTCCTGGTAGGAATGAGAGGAGGGATGGAGGGAGGGAGGGATAGTGGGAGGGAGGGATAGTGGGAGGGACGGATTTGAAAGAAAAACACATTACGGGTACAGTGTGAGCGGTGGGGGATCATGGGACAAACATGAATCTGCTTACCTCGCTGTTCAGGAAGCAGTAAAACACTGACACGAAAAATCCCTGGAGGACAGAGACAGAGGGAAAGAGAGGGGGGAACACAGAGAGAAAGAGACGGCGAGAGGAGAGGGGGAGGAGAGAGAGAGTGTTAAACATTGAAGATAAGATGAGCAGTGTGAGCAGCACCACATTGTACTGTAGACTACATCAATTTTTTGTGACACCTTGACACCCACATTTTTTTTTGCTATCGTTATATGCTTCAGAATGTTTACAGCATCAAACAAGTTCTCAAACCCTCTATAACACTTTCTATTGGGCCTGGGCATACCTGAAAAGACTCCAGGATGGAGTTGAAGTAGATGAAGACTATTTGGGCGACCTCATCCTCTCCTCCTGGGTTGACAAAAAATAGCATGTAGGTGATGCCCAGAAGTGGCAGCAGCACCAGAGTGGCCTTCACCGCTTTCCTGATGGACACACAGTAACACAAGAGTAATATTATTAAATAAAGACCTGGCCGCCAACTAGAGAGTCAATAAGACACAGACGCAGAGTCATACTAGTGACACAGATAGATGCCTAAAATAGACCTGCCAGACAACTAGTGAGTCAATACTACTTTGCTAATGGCTGCCAAGTTTTTTTTCTCCTGTTCTGTGATTTTATGTTTCATGAGAGCACTCACAATACTGGCGTGTGTAGTTTGGATTAATGGTATCGACATACCTCGGGTAGTGACAATGTTTGTCAAGTTCCTACAATACTTTGATTCCACACTGGGTGTGGGATTACATATTCAAACCATGGCAGCAGTTCACATGCATATTGCAAAACCCCATAGTCCTTACAGCGCTATAACAGGTAGACAAATAACTCCCAATTCAATTGTTCTGTTAACATATTTATGTTCTTAAACTTGCTATGATGAGACAGTGGCTGTGTGTTTGTTTTGTGCTTGTTTTGTGCTTCTGTGTGTGCGCGTGCCATGAATGCCGTGTGTATGCCATGTGAATGCCGTGTGAATGCCTGTGCACGTGTCATCCTCGGCTGCCCCATGGCGCTCTCACATCTGTGCATGAGTGTGTGGCAGCTGTGCCCATCACCTCCATGCAGAGAGACCCCGATGTCAGCTGCTGAAAATGTTACCCAGCGCTGTCAGAGCTAGCATGAACGCCGTACTGCTGACGCGAATTGAGCACAAATGTCCATTTCTAACATGGCCTAAAGTAATCTGACACTGACACATTCTTTCAATTCATCCATTTCCCAGTGGAATCCCAGTGGAAGTGCATTGCTGTGGTGCATACCAGCTATATGGCCCACCAATGGGTTAATGTATGATGACTAGGTCATGTTCTAGGTCATACTGGCCTCTCATCCATCAGCATATTATTAATCACAAGTGAAGTGCTGACCAGCAGTCCAATAGAGGAGCACTAGCTGAGGCTCAAGGGTGCGAGTTCACAGCATGCGTCCAAAATGGCACCCCTTTTCTCTACATAGTGCACTACTTTTGACCAGGGCCGGCCCTGCACTATATAGTTAATAAGGTGCCATTTGGGACGCAGAGTGAAAGCTGGCTGAAGGGTAACGAATGTAGCCTTTATAATCCCATTAGTGCGGCCAAATTGAATTTGCTAAATCAGAGGTGTGATTGAGAAATGACTCCATTAAATTACAATAATGAGCGAGGATATTAGCTTGGCTGTTTTCCAGTCAGATGACCCCATGCAGCGTCTGTCACTCTGGTTTCATTATACAAGGAGTCCGTCAAACTCTGATCTTACTGTCCCAATAAAAAGGTGTGTCTTGATTATGATTATGGCTTGTGAATAGTCAGCATGGTGTGCTGTGTTAGCCGGTTGTGGTAATCTATAGTGCTGGTGTACAGTAGCTCTATGTGAAAGGTGTGAGGATTTCTGCATGGGTGCGCACAGGCATGGGTGAGCACACACACACGCAGAACACACACATGTGAAACACACACATGCGAAACACACACATGCGCAAGCACACACACACACAAACACACACACACACACACACACACTCCCACCCCACAACAATCAATTATTGCAATTCAACCAGACAGGTATTGATCATTAGGTTACTTCCAGCGAGGCCATTGATGTTTCCTGGGAGTGTATTAATTAACAGCCCATTGATGTCTACTTTACACCTGGGGCTGGCTCAGCCGACCCTGGATGCATCCCAAATGGCACAAGAATCCCTACAGTGCCTATAGAAAGTCTACACCCCCTTGAACTTGTTTCACATTTTGTTGCGTTACAAAGTGGGATTGAAACAGATGTAATAGTACTTTTTTGTCATTGATCAGAAAATTCGACAAATGTTTACAAGTTTACAAAAATGTAATAATTAAAATATAGGCGTTGCATAAGTATTCACCCCCTTTGTTTAGGCAAGCCTAAATTAGTTCAGAAGTACAATTTGGCTAAATAAATAATATAATAAGTTATATGGACTAATAGGGGTTGACATGATTTTGTAATGACTACCCCTTCTTCTGTCCCCCATGCATACAGCATCTGTAAGGTCCCTCAGTCAAGTATTGAATTTCAAGCACATATTCAACTACAAAGACCAGGGAGCTTTTCAAAGCCTCATAAAGAAAGGCAATGATTGGTAGATGGGTAACAATAACAAATCAGACATTGAATATATCTTTAAGCATGGTCAAGTTAATAGTTATGTTGTGGATTATGTATTAAACCACCCAGACACATCAAAGATGCAGTCGTCGTTCTGAACTGAGCTGCAGGACAAGAAGGAAACTGCTTAGGGATGTCACCATGAGGCCATTGGTGATGTTAAAACAGCTACAGAGTTCAATGTCTGTGATGGGAGAAAATGGAGGATGGATCAACAACATTGTAATGACTCTACAATAATTACCTAAATGACAGAGTGAAAAGAAGAATTCAAATACAGAATTTAAATAAATATTCCAAAACATGCATATGTATGCAACAAGGCACTAAAGTAATACTGAATTTAAAAAAACACAGCAAAGGAATACACTTTTTGGCCTAAATGCAAAGCTTTATGTTTGCAGAAAATCCAGCAAAACACATCACTGAGTAACTGCTTACTTATTTTCAAGCATGGTGGTGGCTGCATCATGGTATGGGTATGCTTGACATTGGCAAAGACTGGGATGGAGCTAAGCACAGGCAAAATCCTAGAGGAACACCTGCTTCAGTCTGCTTTACACCAGACACTGGGAGAGGAATTCACCTTTTAGGAGGACTAAAACACAAAGCCAAATCTACACTAGAGTTGCTTACCAAGAAGACAGTGAAAGTACCTGAGTGGTCAAGTTACAGTTTGGACTTAAATCTGCTTAAAAATCTATGGCAAGACTTTAAAATTGCTGTCTAGCCATGATCTCCAACACCTTGACAGCGCTTGAAGAATTTTGAAAATAATAAATGGCCAAATATTGTCAATACAGGTGTGCAAAGCTCTTTCTTCCAATTTGACATTACAGAGTAATTTGTGTAGATAGTTGACAAAAAAAGAACATTTAAATACATTTTATTCCCACTTTGTAAAACAATAAAATTTGAAGAAATCCAAGGAGGTATAGCACTACCTATGGGGGCCTGGTCAAAAGTAATGCACTGTTAAGGGAATAGGGGTCCATTTGGTCCTGGCTCACCTGTACTGTATTGTCTCTGAGGTGGTGGAGGCTCTCAGCTTTGTCATGAGGATTCTCACAATGTTGAAGAGGAATATAAAGTTGATCTGAGAACAGAGGGAAAATAAGAATTCAGAGAAGATTTACATTGGTCAAATAGGAGAGAGAAACATTTAATAAAACAATCTTTGTCTGTGGTGGAAATAACTGTATTGGGCTTTAAGTGATGCTAGGAGACCGGTGCCAAATAAAGTCTCTAAAAAACTTTTTTGCAATCTCTGCATTTTTACTGAGTGGTATAGATTATAAATCTGTTAAATCTGGGATGCATGGGAAAGACAAACACTTGGGCTTGTGTCTAATTTACATAGACAGTGTTTCAATACAGTCAACATGATATCATAGGAAAACGTCATCCTGGAAGTTTGCAAAAAGGTAAATGTCACAGTAGCTGATGTTTTTCTCAATACATTGCAGCCAAAGCGAAAAGATGAGTGTTACAGGTTTGACGTTTTCTCAATACATTGTTGTCAATGGGAAAAGATGAGTGTCACAGGGTTTCAAGTTTTCAGGCTGATAATGGGCTGATACAGTGTATTGACTGATGTATGTGCAATGAATACTGCATCACAAACATAACTCTCAAACATAATTCTGATCAAATTAAAACCATCTGCAAAACAAGGAGTAAAAAAAAAGCAAATGTAATGCTTCAGAGCGAGGTCTTAGGATGATTGACTGCTGAGGTTTTAAGGGCAAATCAATAAAATCAATTGTTTACATTAAAATGTTGCCAGCTGGTTATATCATATTTTAAATCATGTTCCAACGTTATGTGTGAGTATCTGGTGAGTTATGAAGGGAGAAGGCATGAGAAAAACAGTCACATATTTAAACTTGCTTAAGGGGGATACGTGTTAAGATTGTCAAGCTGAGCTAAAACAGTTACAGTTTAGCATGCTGCAGATCATATACTATTCATACATATTCATCATACATCATATTCATTCCAAATTACCCTGTCAGTTCTGCATATGTGTAGTAGGTGTCACGTCGTTCAAATAGCTTCACATGATGGTATTACAGTATGTGCGTGAATGTGTGCGTTGGAAGGCTGCGGTATAAAGTTCACACACCATTGAATGTCAATGACCTTTCTATTGTTTGTTTTGAAGCAATTACTTGACCTTGAAACACAGTTTCCGCTTGAGTGCACAGTAATGTTATTTTGGCAGTGTTACTAACTGCGAGGTGCTGTAAATACAAACGCAGTTAGAGGGAAAGTGTAAAGGGGAAGAGCTTGGTCATGGATGTAGGAAAACCTAACAAGGACAAGGCTAGAACACTATGTCTATAAATGTCTATACTAGGAGGAGAAATATGGAGAAATGTGAAAAGAATTGTGTAACACCATCTTACCAGCAACACCAGGATCATTGGGCCCTGGTAGATGTAATCTGTGTACACTCCTGCCTTCTTCCCAAACCAGCACCTGCAATTTAGAACACAGAGAGTTGAGCCAATCATACTGGCCGATGTCAGAAGGTCAACCAATCAAATTTATTCAATGACAAAGCCAACTGCAGGACCTTTGCCAACAATTTTTTATAGTTGACTAAAACGAGCATGGGCCTCGGCCAATCACATTAATTGATATCAGAGGTGGGTGAGAGGGCTTACCCTATCAAAGCCAGTACTGGCATATAATAAGAGAGGCCTTTGTAAAGTACAGCACCCCCCACTAGCAGCAGAAAACACCTCAAACAAATCATTTGTGGAATTACATCCACTTTGCTGTAAAAACAAAGGGATGAAACAAGGAAAAGAAGACGTTCTCCCAGGGTATGAGATGCTCCAGATTCACTAATTCTACATACTTAGTTCAGAGTGAATTATTCATTTGTTCTGTCTTCACCTTGTTGGCATCAGAGAGAGAGAGAGAGAGAGAGAGAGAGAGAGAGAGAGAGAGAGAGAGAGAGAGAGAGAGAGAGACATGTTTTCGGAGGGTGGAGATCACGGCAACCCCTGTGTAAGCGGGAGCCTCTGATGTGATACAGTGGCTGTCAGTTTCCTGGTGTAGCTCTAATGAAACTGATGCCCCCCAGCCAACCAGCTGGTTGAGTGAAGAACTTTAAACTCTACCATGCGTGTTGTCTGACTGTATTAGAGGGCAGAATGTCAGAGAATAGGAAAGCATGTGGAGTATGTTTGCTTAGGCTATTTCAAGTCAGGTTTATGATGGAATAAGTAAGTAGCCTTGCATAAGCTGGGACAGTTTCTGTAGCGTGAGGCAGCTTTTTTGATGTACAAGTACACCCCCCCGGACAGGACACTAGTCTGTCGCAGGGCCTTACCCATAGCAGTGGGAAGTAGTTTGGGGGTGGGGGTGCTGCGATTGTATTATTCTTCGACGGACGGACGGGGGAATACGTTTTTACCCACGCTGCAGATGGCTATATTGGTCAGCTAATATAGGACTATTAAAGGCCCAGTGCTCTACTTTTGTGAAAAAAACTATTTTTCCAAATATATATTTTTTATATATTCTTTTTTTTCAGGGGGTGCTGCAGCACTCTCAGCACCCCTACCCGCAATCTCCTTAATGCTGAGCACAAAGCAGAGACGCATCAGGTCCCATTTTTATAGTCTTTGGTATGATTCGGCTGAGGATCAAACTCACAACACTCTAACCACAAGGTCACTGAGTTACGATGAAGTGCCTTGCTATAAAATAAGCATTTAAGTCAGAGTGATATCTTTGACAGCAGAGAGCTGTTGATTGGGGAAATCGCTCAGTTCTGCCACCAGGACAAGACTCATGACAAAAAACATCAACCTGCTATTCTGTATGCAGAGCAGTTATCGGTTACAGGTGCACCAAGACTCCCTTAAAATTAGGATGAATCGATCGTTTAATGACCTGGCAGAAAGTAAAATGAAGGAGATGATTGGGCGACATCCTTCTCTCATCTAGTGCAATTTTCACTCTGATGGGCCTGAGAGGAGCTAGACACGGACAATATTGTTGCCTGATTCCAAAGACAAATGGATACCACAGGGACATTAATAGAGATAGAGAGAAACCGAGAGAGAATGAGAAAGAAAAATACATGTGCTTACTTTTCATTGTCGTAGTAAAGCTTGCCAATGGCCCATGCAATGATGATTGGAAGAGGGATACCTGTAAAACATCACACATTGTCTCTGTTACAGTTTACTTACATTCTTTGTGATCAGTCAAATTAATCAATCAACGCATATCCGTCTTTCATTTGATTAACTAAGTGTAGGCTACTCACACCACCCGATGCAGATGAACATCCACTTGCGCAGCTTGTCCGTGGAATAGGTGAGCACGATGGCTGTATGCAGGTAGCAGCCCTCCCCAAACATCCAGAAGAAGTTTGTCACGTGGAAATAGTTATAGGCTGCCGTGACCAGCCGGCACCACAACTTTTATAGATAGGAAGGAAAGAACAAGAAAAAGGGCTAGTAAAAACTAAAAAGTGAGAGCTGTAAAGGCACCACTGGTTCCCTTTCCTCACTCCTTAGGGGGTTGCTGCCTGTTGGAAAAGTAGTGCACTATATAGGGAATAGGGTGCCATTTCGGATGCAGACCTGGTTCTTTATAGACATGTAATGAGATCAAGGACGGGGAGTAAGGAAGGGCTGCAGCTTCTGAAGCTTAAGCTTATAGGGGAGAGCCGGGACGAAAGTAACACAGGGCGGAAGTAGATTTGTGTGTATTGTTGTATATTGCTGCACTGTCGGAGCTAGAAACACAAGTATTTCGCTACACCCGCAATAACATCTGCTAAATATGTGTATGCGACCAATGAAATTTGATTTGATTTAAGCATGAATAGTCATTGAAAATGGTGAAAAACATACAGTGGGGAAAAAAGTATTTAGGCAGCCACCAATTGTGCAAGTTCTCCCACTTAAAAAGATGAGAGAGGCCTGTAATTTTCATCATAGGTACACGTCAACTATGACAGACAAAATGAGGCAAAAAATTCCAGAAGATCACATTGTAGGATTTTTTATGAATTCATTTGCAAATTATGGTGGAAAATAAGTATTTGGTCAATAACAAAAGTTTCTCAATACTTTGTTATATACCCTTTGTTGGCAATGACACAGGTCAAACGTTTTCTGTAAGTCTTCACAAGGTTTTCACACACTGTTGCTGGTATTTTGGCCCATTCCTCCATGCAGATCTCCTCTAGAGCAGTGATGTTTTGGGGCTGTCGCTGGGCAACACGGACTTTCAACTCCCTCCAACGATTTTCTATGGGGTTGAGATCTGGAGACTGGCTAGGCGACTCCAGGACCTTGAAATGCTTCTTACGAAGCCACTCCTTCGTTGCCCGGGCGGTGTGTTTGGGATCATTGTCATGCTGAAAGACCCAGCCACGTTTCATCTTCAATGCCCTTGCTGATGGAAGGAGGTTTTCACTCAAAATCTCACGATACATGGCCATATTCATTCTTTCCTTTACGCGGATCAGTCGTCCTGGTCCCTTTGCAGAAAAACAGCCCCAAAGCATGATGTTTCCACCCCCATGCTTCACAGTAGGTATGGGGTTCTTTGGATGCAACTCAGCATTCTTTGTCCTCCAAACACGACGAGTTGAGTTTTGACCAAAAAGTTCTATTTTGGTTTCATCTGACCATATGACATTCTCCCAATCCTCTTCTGGATCATCCAAATGCACTCTAGCAAACTTCAGACGGGCCTGGACATGTACTGGCTTAAGCAGGGGGACACGTCTGGCACTGCAGGATTTGAGTCCCTGGCGGCGTAGTGTGTTACTGATGGTAGGCTTTGTTACTTTGGTCCCAGCTCTCTGCAGGTCATTCACTAGGTCCCCCCGTGTGGTTCTGGGATTTTTGCTCACCGTTCTTGTGATCATTTTTACCCCACGGGGTGAGATCTTGCGTGGAGCCCCAGATCGAGGGAGATTATCAGTGGTCTTGTATGTCTCCCATTTCCTAATAATTGCTCCCACAGTTGATTTCTTCAAACCAAGCTGCTTACCTATTGCAGATTCAGTCTTCCCAGCCTGGTGCAGGTCTACAATTTTGTTTCTGGTGTCCTTTGACAGCTCTTTGGTCTTGGCCATAGTGGAGTTGGGAGTGTGACTGTTTGAGGTTGTGGACAGGTGTCTTTTATACTGATAACAAGTTCAAACAGGTGCCATTAATACAGGTAACGAGTGGAGGACAGAGGAGCCAGTTACAGGTCTGTGAGAGCCAGAAATCTTGCTTGTTTGTAGGTGACCAAATACTTATTTTCCACCATAATTTGCAAATAAATTCATAAAAAATCCTACAATGTGATTTTCTGGATTCTTTTTTCTCAATTTATCTGTCATAGTTGACATGTACCTATGATGAAAATGACAGGCCTCTCTCATCTTTTTAAGTGGGAGAACTTGCACAATTGGTGGCTGACTAAATACTTTTTTCCCCCACTGTATCCTACTACATTCCCATTAAAGTGAGATAAGAAAATGATGGTTAGTATAGCTATTATGTGATCCATTTTAGTCAGATTCATATTGTAAGGCAAAATATTGTGGTTGCACAACATTGCGATGTTAACGCATGGTTCATTTTCATAAATTATGAACCTATAGCATTAATTATTCAAATCGACACAAACATTACATTATGTCTGATAGTACATTTGTTAAAAGTAATGAGCATTACAAACCAGAAACATGGAGATAAGACAGATATTGTGCACTTCTTGCCAGCTGTTACTTCCTTCCCAAGGCTGTGTTACTCCCGCCCTGCCGGCAGGTAGAAAAAAGTAACGTTGCTGTAGTTCTGTTCTCTGTCTATTTAATTTCAACTAATTTACCCTATAAATGAAATTACAGTTGCTAACGGTAGAGGACATGTATAAGTTGTTTGTCATAAAATATGGTGTCTTTAGCTCAATCGATCTCTGAGTAATTAGGGAAAAAAATGAAAAGTGTTACTTTCGTTCCTATTCGCCACTTCCCACTGGGCATAGACGTCAATTCAACATCTATATTTCACATCGGTTCAATGTAATTTCATTGAAATGACGTGGAAACAACATTGATTCAACCAGTGTGTGCCCAGTGGGTAGTCTCTCTAAAAAACGCTCAATCTGAGACTGAAACTCCTCCTTGCGATCATTATTTGACATATGCAGCTTGTTTGAGCTTCTCGATCATGCTCGGAGTAGTGTCAAAAGGACTCTCTGAATGTTTCCAGTTTGGGACTGGTTCTTAGGCAGATGTCTGGCAAACAAAGTTCACTGCGGCAGTTTAAGAATGGCAGATTTGACCTCCTGCATTACTTGTTAAACTGCATCATAGCTCTCACTTCCCATGGCCTACGACAATCTGAGTCATCCAACACTGACAATACCTCTCAACAAGTCCAAAGTCAATATAGATGTGCTATATTAATTTGATCACTCTGTTGTCGCAGATCATTTTCCTGCGCAGTATAAAATGCTAATTGTAGTGTATTCGAGGTTTAAAAAGGGTTCTAAAGTTTGCAATTTCCACTTGAAATTTCAAACTATTTGCCTTAAAGAAACATTTATCAACACCTACAAAAATTTCCATTAACTGAAATCCACATTATAATTCACCTTCCCTGTTGCTGCAGGATTATTTTCATGCTGTGAGAAACTGGTCAATTTAAGATAGTACACATCTGTATGCCACTTCTAACACTTCAACCTCTATCTTCTTTGACAATTACTGAGACCAGATCATTGAGAGTCACTTGGGAGTGTTACTTGGGATTGAGAGAGTCAGAGAATGGCACTTGGGGGATACACCCACACTGCTGTCCGAAATGTGTACTTTTCGACTCCAAGATTGTATTTTGGGTGGTGCGTAGAGGCCCGGCTGGGGTTACAGCCCTCTGAGCGCTACTCATCAGTCTGGACTAGGTGTCTACAGCTGGGAGATGAGACAGGAGATCTGTCAGTCCGTAATCTCTCCCTGAAGACGGAGATGAGACAGGAGATCTGTCAGTCCGTAATCTCTCCCTGAAGACGGAGGTGACACGACTCATTGGGTGATGACATCGGTTCGGAAGTAGGGGGGAGATGCTCCCCTTTGGCGTTTGTTCAAAAGTAGCAAAGTGCATCTCTGAAGGCCTTTGAAGGCCTGTGATGAATGTGTTGTCTAAGTGTTCAACAATAGTAGTTTCATGAAAAGTCCCTGACAATTGTAAGACTAGCGAACTCCTTATTGTCATGCAGGTGGGGAGTGGCCTTGGGTCACAATCAAAACAAGGAGTCATTCCAAATCAGGTGTTACTTATTTACCTCCTTTTAAACACAATAAGAACAAATCATTTAATTCAGTATTTGTTCAGGTAGTTATTCAAAACGTCAAGCTACCATACAACTATCTGCTCATTGCCCATTGAATGTTGTAGGGAAAGAGGCAGCTTGATGGCTGAATTAAATGTCATCATAATTATTCACCTACTTTGCACAGGTGTCCTCCATATGGTACCTAGTGAAAAGAATAGAGTAATGTACTGAGTGGGAAAAATCTGTATTCAATATAAAAGTGTCATTGACTCTCATTGTATCTTGCCTCTTGTCTAGCTTCACAGTCTCACCCCACTTACTTCAAGGACATACCAACAGACTCCCTGAGTCGGTACTACCCATCAAATCATCACAAAGTCAAACAGAAAATGGGACTCTACAGCCAGCAATCTCAGTGTATTTGGGCTAAGATCCCAAGTTGCCCTTTCCAATACCCTCCACTCTACCCCTTGTGTAGTCTACAGGCATATCAGGATTGCAATTCATTCACAACTCTCCATTTTTCTAGCCTCTGCTCTAATCGACCCATTGAGGGTGAGAGACTCCCAGTCTGATCAGTGAAGTGGGGCCGTGGTTGAGTGTGATAGCGTGATATCGTTACCGCCCTGACATCCCCGCCACTGACGCACAATGGCCCCCTCTACATTCGCAGGGGGAACCCAGTGTACCAAGGACAAGGAAAAACAAGAAAATTATAGCTTTCAAAAGTGAAAAATAACTCTCCTGAGGTTCGAGAGTTGCTTTTGACCTAGCCAACTCCCCTTTTGAAAATAGGAAGATAATCATCTTTCGAGACCCACGTGTGTCTGACAACAGCTTATAAACAGGTGAGGGGATGCGTTGTACCAAAATGATTGAATGGTGGGAATCAACGCAATTGCGCATTAGCTCAATAGGATAAGGTTAGTATGCTGATATTTGTTTTTTACTGTATTAGTATTTACTAAACAGTACATTCTAAATAGTATGTAGTACGATTACTACACATTTTACATTTACATTTACATTTTAGTCATTTAGCAGACGCTCTTATCCAGAGCGACTTACAGGAGCAAATTAGGGTTAAGTGCCTTGCTCAAGGGCACATTTACGTCATTTAGCAGACGCTCTAGTCCAGAGCGACTCACAAATTGATGCATTCACCCTATAGCCAGTGGGATAACCACTTTACAATTATAATTTTTTTTTTTTTGGGGGGGGGGGGGGGGGGGGATTACTTTATCCTATCCCAGGTATTCCTTAAAGAGGTGGGGTTTCAAATGTCTCCGGAAGGTGGTGAGTGACTCCGCTGTGGGGTGGGTGGGGGGGGGGGGGGGGGTAGAAGGATTACTTTATCCTATCCCAGGTATTCCTTAAAGAGGTGGGGTTTCAAATGTCTCCGGAAGGTGGTGAGCGACTCCGCTGTGTGGGGGGGGGGGGGGGGGGGGGGGGTAGAAGGATTACTTTATCCTATCCCAGGTATTCCTTAAAGAGGTGGGGTTTCAAATGTCTCCGGAAGGTGGTGCGCGACTCCGCTGTGTGTGTGGGGGGGGGGGGGGGGTAGAAGGATTGCTTTATCCTATCCCAGGTATTCCTTAAAGAGGTGGGGTTTCAAATGTCTCCGGAAGGTGGTGAGTGACTTTGGTGAGTGACTTTGTGGGTTTTCACTACACAGTATGCAGTTTACAGTGCCGCGAAATAGAATTTGCCCTCTTTCTGATTTTCTAAATTTTTGCATTATGTTGATACTGAATGTTATCAGATCTTCAACCAAAACCTAATATTAGATAAAGGGAACTTAACAAAGTTATGCAACGCCCAATTCCCCTGTGTTCAAAAGTAATTGCCCCTTACACTCAATAACTGGTTGTGCCACCTTTAGCTGCAATGACTGCAACCAAATGCTTCCTGTAGTTGGTGATCAGTCTCTCACATCGCTGTGGAGGAATTTTGGCCCACTCTTGCATGCAGAACTTCTTTAACTCAGTGGCATTTGTGGGTTTTCACGCATGCACTGCTCATTTCAAGTCCTGCCACATCTCAATTGGGATTAGGTTTGGACTTTGACTAGGCCATTCCAAAACTTCCAATTTGTAGCTTTTTAACCATTTTCATGTAGACTTGATTGTGTGTTTTGGATCATTGTCTTGCTGCATGACCCAGCTGCGCTTCAGCTTCAGCTCACAGACGGATGGCCTGACATTATCCTGTAGAATTCTCTGATACAGAGCAGAATTCATGGTTCCTTTTATTAAGGCAAGTCGTCCAGGTCCTGAGGCAGCAAAGCATCAACCAAAGCATCACACTACCCCCACCATGCTTGACCATTGGTATGAGGTTCTTACTGTGGAATGCAATGTTTGGTTTTCGCCAGACATAATGGGACCCATCTCATCCAAAAGGTGGACTCAAGTTTGCCAAAAAGCACCTGGATGATCATCAAGCCTTTTGAAAGAATGTTTTATGGACAGATTAGTCAAAAGTATAACTTTTTGGACGACATTATGCCTTGCAAAAACCAAACACTACATTCCACAGTAAGAAACGTATACCAACGGTCAAGCATGGTGGTGGTAGTGTGACGGTTTGGGGATGCTTTGCTGCCTCAGGACCTGAATGACTTGCCTTAATAGAAGGAAGCGTGAATTTCAGCGGCAGGGACTGGGAGACTAGTCAGGATCGAGGGAAAGATGAAAGGAGCAAAGTACAGAGAGATCCTTGATGAAAACCTGCTCCAGAGCACTCAGGACCCTAAGCACGCAGACAAGACAACGCAGGAGTGGCTTCGGGACAAGTCTCTGAATGTCCTTGAGTAGCCCAGTCAGAGCCCGGACTTGAACCCGGTCTAACATCTCTGGAGAGACCTGAAAATAGCTGTGTAGCGATGCTCCCCATCCAACCTGACAGAGCTTGAGAGGATCTGCAGAAAAGATTGGGAGAAACTCCCCAAATACAGGTGTGCCAAGCATCATACCCAAGAAGACGCCAGGCTGTAATCGCGGTCAAAGGTGCTTCAACAAAGTACTGAGTACTTATGTGATATTTCAGTTTTTTATCTTTAATACATTTGCAAACATTTCTAAAAACCAGTTTTTGCTTTGTCATTATGGGGTATTGTGTGTAGATTGATGAGGGGAAAAAACTATCTAACACATTTTAGAATAAGGCTGTAACGTAACAAAATGTGGTAAAAGTCAAGGGGTATGAATACTTTCCGAATGCACTGTAAGTAGTAGGCAAGCCAGATTTCGGACACTGTCATTATATAGCCCTTAAAGAATACCAGTCTCTAACATTTCATACATTTCGTATTCTCCAAATATTCCTGTCAATGGAATGTGGTCTAAGAAAAAAAAAACTGAAAGAAACCTAATCAGTAAGTAATTGATCTTTCATTAACCCCACCCAAAACCTCCCTAAAGCAATCAATTTATACAGTTATGATCTGACAACCTTTGACTTGTTCTGTTGCCCTTTAACATATTACATATTAGCCCTGACATATGTACTGCGCTGTGTTCCTCCGCAGGTCACTCGCTCCACGACCTTGTGCAAATAATAAATGAAACGAGCCGTCAAGCCTCCGTCTTTCAACTGACAAGCAGAACTTCTCATGGCTAATGGCTGACGGCAGCCATCTTGTTTCTTCTCAGAATGGAAGAAGAAGAGGTGGAGGAGGAGGGCTAACTGACTGGGTCGCTTTGAGCGCGCTCAGTTTGTCTTCTTAGGTCAGATATTGACAGTGGGGGTTGGATTCATTAATTTCTGAGGGCTGGGGGGGGGGGGGGCGGAGGGGATAATGAGCTAATTAGTAAAGTAGTGGCAGAGGCTAATTGAAAGAGCTGGAAAGGAAAGGGAGCGTCTTCTCTTCTCTGAGGTGAGGGATGTTTGCACAAGCAATAACGTCAAGAGGCAGGCGAGCTGAGGGGCAATTAACAGTGAACCAGGATGACATGATGGTACTCCAATGCCTCTTAGTTAGTTAGGAGTGTGTGTGTGAATGTGTGTTTGTGTGTGTGTGTGTGTGTGCGCCCGGACCCTGGAGATGTTTTGGAAATTGTAGCTGGGAAACTGCAATCCAATTTGATCGGAAAGGGGAAAAAGATGGATGAGTGAAAGTGTGTGTGTGTGTGTGCATGTGTGTGTTCATTAGTGAGCCTGGAGAGAGAGGGAAAGTAATAGAAGGAGAGGTGGGGATTTTTGTGTGGGTGTGTGGGTGTCAAAATGTGTGTGTGTGCTTCCATATCTGCATGAATTTATTGCCCTTCTGTGTTTGCATCACAGTGTATCACAGCAAACTACAGTGGGGAAAAAAAGTATTTAGTCAGCCACCAATTGTGCAAGTTCTCCCACTTAAAAAGATGAGAGAGGCCTGTAATTTTCATCATAGGTACACGTCAACTATGACAGACAAATTGAGAAAGAACAATCCAGAAAATCACATTGTAGGATTTTTAATGAATTTATTAGCAAATTATGGTGGAAAATAAGTATTTGGTCACCTACAAACAAGCAAGATTTCTGGCTCTCACAGACCTGTAACTTCTTCTTTAAGAGGCTCCTCTGTTCTCCACTCGTTACCTGTATTAATGGCACCTGTTTGAACTTGTTATCAGTATAAAAGACACCTGTCCACAACCTCAAACAGTCACACTCCAAACTCCACTATGGCCAAGACCAAAGAGCTGTCAAAGGACACCAGAAACAAAATTGTAGACCTGCACCAGGCTGGGAAGACTGAATCTGCAATAGGTAAGCAGCTTGGTTTGAAGAAATCAACTGTGGGAGCAATTATTAGGAAATGGAAGACATACAAGACCACTGATAATCTCCCTTGATCTGGGGCTCCACGCAAGATCTCACCCCGTGGGGTCAAAATGATCACAAGAACGGTGAGCAAAAATCCCAGAACCACACGGGGGGACCTAGTGAATGACCCGCAGAGAGCTGGGACCAAAGTAACAAAGCCTACCATCAGTAACACACTACGCCGCCAGGGACTCAAATCCTGCTGTGCCTGACGTGTCCCCCTGCTTAAGCCAGTACATGTCCAGGCCCGTCTGAAGATTGCTAGAGTGCATTTGGATGATCCAGAAGTGGATTGGGAGAATGTCATATGGTCAGATGAAACCAAAATAGAACTTTTTGGTAAAAACTCAACTCGTCGTGTTTGGAGGACAAAGAACACCATACCTACTGTGAAGCATGGGGGTGGAAACATCATGCTTTGGGGCAGTTTTTCTGCAAAGGGACCATGTCGACTGATCCGTGTAAAGGAAAGAATGAATGGGGCCATGTATCGTGAGATTTTGAGTGAAAACCTCCTTCCATCAGCAAGGGCATTGAAGATGAAACGTGGCTGTGTCTTTCAGCATGACAATGATCCCAAACACACCGCCCGGGCAATGAAGGAGTGGCTTCGTAAGAAGCATTTCAAGGTCCTGGAGTGGCCTAGCCAGTCTCCAGATCTCAACCCCATAGAAAATCTTTGGAGGGAGTTGAAAGTCTGTGTTGCCCAGCGACAGCCCCAAAACATCACTGCTCTAGAGGAGATCTGCATGGAGGACTGGGCCAAAATACCAGCAACAGTGTGTGAAAACCTTGTGAAGACTTACAGAAAACGTTTGACCTGTGTCATTGCCAACAAAGGGTATATAACAAAGTATTGAGAAACTTTTGTTATTGACCAAATACTTATTTTCCACCATAATTTGCAAATAAATTCATTAAAAATCCTACAATGTGATTTTCTGGAATTTTTTTTCTCATTTTGTCTGTCATAGTTGACGTGTACCTATGATGAAAATTACAGGCCTCTCTCATCTTTTTAAGTGGGAGAACTTGCACAATTGGTGGCTGACTAAATACTTTTTTCCCCCACTGTATATACAGGTAAAACCATGCCAAAATAAAGGAAACACTTGAGTTGTTTGAGTCATTTGAGCTGTTATGGTGTGGGGTGCATTTTCCTGGCAAGTCCACTCAACCCCTTAGAGGGCAAGGTAAACACCAATAAATACACAGCCATTCTGAGTGATCACCTTCAATCTATGATTAATCATTTCTATCCTGATGGGAGTGGTCTCTTCCAGGATGACAATGCCCCCATTCACAGGGGAAGAGTGGTTACTGAATGGTTTGATGGGCACGAAAATGATGTTTACCATATGCCATGGTCGTCTCAGTCACCAGATTTTAACACTTATGGGAGATTCTGGAGCAGCGTCTGAGACAGCGTTTCGCACCACCATCAACAAAACAGTCTCAATAGAGTTCCAGACACTTGCAGAATCTATACCAAGGCACGTTGAAGCTGTTCTGACGGCTCGTGATGGTGCCCTATTAAGACACTTTATGTTGGTGTTTCCTTTATTATGGCAGTTACCTGTATGTATTTGTATATTGCATATAAAGTGGCCTGAAATAGATGTACATTTAACTTCCCTGTACTCACCACATTGCTCTCGTGCACCTCTGGGTTCATGGTGAGCTGTACGACGAACCAAGTGGCATTCCTCAGGATGAAAGCTGTGATCAGGTTCCAGTGGATGATGTTCCTCAAGCAGCGGATACTCCTGGTGGGAGAGAGGAAAATCGAGGAACGGGTAAGCACTGGTACCTATTCATTATACTGTACAGTGCAACATGGTATCATGCATCACATTTTGAAGCTTTTGCAAAAAGATATGTATCACGGTTCTTTACCCCTAAATCAATACATTGCACTGTAATACTCCTGGAGGTAAAGGAGAGAACAGAGGACAGGTTAAGGGCTGGTGGTACTGTATGCAGTATAATTATTGCAGTGTTTACAGTGAGTGCAGGTTTTTCCTTCTTCAGTATAATTATGCCTTTTGAATCCAGCGGCCAAAATATTTTTTCTTATTACAAACTTTTGAGTTGAGCACGTCAATTCCTCATGGTATGCAGTATAATGTTATGCAGTGCCATTTACCCCCACCTGCATGGATGGTAATACATATGACGGGATGATGGATAATGGGACCATAATAAAAAGAGGGATGTTAAACGAGACAGTGGGGAACTTTGTGTGTGTGTTTGTGGATGTGTGTTTTGCATAATTAGTACAGCATGTGCATGTATTTGAGCGTGTTCCACAATTTACATATTCCTTACAGTAAGTCTAAAGAGCTAGACAAGACCTGCTCCCTCAAGCAGGTGGTGTATCACTTTCTCTCTTCTGTTCTAACCACTTCACCCCACCTCCAGTGGCAAAGCAAACCAACTCACAATAATCTCCCATTACCCTCTAACAGTAGAGTAGGGCAGGCTGATCAATCCTTTCCCCATGCTTCAGTAGCACCAGCAGCCCAGCAGGTTATTCAATTCACAGGAGTGACTGATAGAATTGGACCAGCTAATACACGGTTTATTAGATCAGTCAAGGTTCTAATTCACACAATTTGTGTACAAACTTGGAGGTAATAAGACACCAGGAAAGGAAAGCATCCAGGACCAGCAGGGCCCAGATTCACAAAACCTTCTTAAGAATACATTTCTTCGTAAGTGCCATTTTTTCCTTAAGTTTATATAATAATGTTCCTGGATTTCGTCTTGGAAATTTACTCAATTTCAAGATAGCTAAACCCTTGTCTTAAACTCATGGCAGTGAGAGAATAAACCAATGAAAGCAGTTGAACATGTTTAAACCCCCTAGAGTCGATGTCCACGCCCCGTGGAAATCGAATTAGCATAATAAAGAAATCCCATAAAAATCCATAAGTTTAAGCTACAGAAATCTGTTTTTTTAGCATTGGATGCATCTCAATCCACCGCATCAGCCGAATTCGCACTACCGCATCTGCGGTGAAAGGTTGCAGAGGTAGAGCGGTGTTTGTCAGACTATGAGACATCCCGAACATCGGTCTTCTCACCGATTGTATGTAGCGGCCGAATTACCTACAAACTATATGGAAAGATGTGACTCTCACGAAAATGATGGTGTTCTCTGTTTTGCTCTACGACCCCCACAATCGTCTCGGGACTCGTCTGAAGTCGGTACAGCCGATCTGCCAACTTCTGTCTGTAGCGTCTGAACAGTTTGGGCAAGTATGACCCCTCTGTCAAACGGTGAGACTCTCACAAACATGTACATGTCGGTTGTTTAGCTCTAGCACCCCCACATGCCCCACAAGACTCATCTGAAGGTCCCCCGGTACCAGTTGAAAAAATGAATGGGGGTTAAATTCATGTAAAAAAAAAAAACTAAAAAAACATCCAGATCATCTTATACATTATCTTTCAGATATAGGACAGACACTTCAGAACAAACTTCCTTTTAATTTTTTTTTGGGGGGGGGACTATTTGTTGATCCATTGCAATTGCTAGCTTGATAGTTAGCTAGCTCGGTTGCCTAGGGACAATCATCTTTTATTAATTTTTATTTAACCTTTACTTTTTTTAGCAGGGAGTCATACTGAGACCAAGGTCTCTTTTACATATGAGCCCTGAATTACAGAAATTACAGAAAATACACACATCAAAACATAAATACAAAATGCAAGCAGAAAAACTGAAAAACACGGTCATAAAAAACAAACACATTCATCAGTAATAAGGTACTCAATCAGCTTTCTGAATTACCCTATCATAGATAGTTAAGAAGTTCGTAAGAAGATATTTGAGAAGTTCGTAAGAAAATCATGTTAAAAAATGTTTGAGGAATTGCACTTATGAACTATCTTATGAACTTCTCATATTGTTTCTCACAAATCTTCTTCAGTTTTTGAGTAAGAAGTGTTTTGTGTATCTGGGCCCAGGAATAGACAAGCCTGAAATATCCTTTACAAGTCAAATCTCTTGAGTTAACACCCAATTACTCTGGGAAACAGATAAAATCTGGTAAAATCTGATAGCACGTCTTTAGTTTAGGCCAGCAGGAAACTGTGACCAGAATAATATAGAGATCCCCTCTGTATAATATTTCCTCTATAACACGTAAAGGTATATACATATATAGAGTGCTCTCAGAAAGTATTCACACCCCTTGACTTTTCCACATTTTGTTGTGTTACTGCCTGCATTTAAAATGGATTAAATAGAGATTTTTTGTCAATGGCCTACATACTACCACCCCATAATGTCAAAGCGGAATTCATATTTTGGCTGCATCATATGCTTGTCATTTGCAAGGACTATGGTGTTTTTTAGGATAAAAATAATTGGAATAGAGCTAGTACAGGCAAAATCCTAGTGGAAAACCTGGTTCAGTCTGCTTTCTTACAGACACTAGGAGACAAATTCACCTTTCAGCAGGAGAATAACCTAAAAGGCCAAATATACACTGGAATTGCTTAACAAGAAGACAGTGAATGTTCCTGAGTGGCCAGGCTGCAGTTTTGACTTAAATCTTCTTGAAAATCTATGGCAAGACTGGGAAATGGCTGTCTAGCAATAATCAACAATCAATTTGACAGAGCTTGAAGAATTCTGAAATTAATAAGCGGCAAATGTTGCACAATCCAGCTGTGGAAAGCTCTTAGAGACTTACCCAGAATGACTCACATCTGTAATTACTGCCAAAGGTGCTTCTACACAGTATTGACTGAGGCATGTGAATACTTACGTAAATTGAATATTTCAGCATTCCATTTTCAATAAATTTGCAAATATTTCACTTTCTCATTATGGAGTATTATGTGTAGATGGGTGAGGAAATACATTTAGTAACACTTTGTCACGAATTCCGCCGAGGCTGCTCCTCCTCCTTGTTCGGGCAGGCTTCAGCGTTCGTCGTCCCCGGAGTACTAGCTGCTACCGTTTGATGTTCTCTATGTTTGTTTGGTTTTGTCTGATTAGTGCACCTGTTCCATATCACGTATTGATTATGTCACCTATAAGTTTCCTTTGGTTTTGTTTGTAGTTGTGTGTTGTTGTCCGCCTGTCCGTTGGTGATGTGATTTTGCGTAATCTCTTGTATTTGTGTATTGACGCACGTTTGCGTAATCGCTCGCCTCCGTTTTGTTGAGGCCCGTTATTTTTGTATTGTCGTGTTTGACAAGTAAAGTCTGTTGGACTAAGCTTCTGTGTCCTGCGCCTGACTCCAACACCACATCCACATCAGCCCTTGACAGAACAACACACCATACAATGGAGTCAGCAGGAGCAGCGGCGGCGACCGAGTCGCTGGAGGATCGGGTCAGTTGTCAGGACGCCATGATCCAGCAACTCGGCTCCGCCATGCAGGAGGTTATGAACACCCTGCGCCGATGGGAAAGGGGAGGCGTGCCCACACCTCCTCCAACATTACCACCACCATCGGCCAGCCCCACCAGACCAGCTCCGGAATCCAGTGGGATTCGGCTCTCGCTCCCGAGGGCGTATGATGGCACAGCAGCCGGGTGTCAGGGGTTCCTCCTTTAGGTGGAACTCTACCTGGCCACCATACACCCAGCGCCCTCGGGATACGAGAGCGTTTCCGCCCTCATCTCCTGTCTCTCCGGCAAGGCGTTGGAGTGGGCCAACGGCGAATGGAGGGGAATAGACGCCGCCACCATCAGCTACGCGGAGTTCTCCCGCCGCTTCAGGGCAGTTTTCGATCACCCTCCTGAGGGTAAAGCGGCGGGGGAGCGTCTGTTCCACCTCCGACAGGAGAAGAGGAGCACACAGGAGTTCGCCCTGGATTTCCGGACTCTAGCGGCGGATGCGGGGTGGAATGAGAGGGCCCTCATCGATCACTATCGGTGTAGCCTGTGTGAGGACGTTCGTCGAGAGCTGGCCTGCAGGGACACCAATCTGTCCTTCGACCAGCTAGTGGACATGTCCATCCGACTGGATACCCTGCTGGCCACCCGCGGACGTCCCGAGATGGGGCCGTCCATTCCATCCCGCAGCACCTCCGAGCCGAGCCCAATGGAGCTCGGGGGTGCTGGCGCTAGAGAAAGAAGGAGAGAGAACTCGAGGGGGGCCGTCCCCTGCACCAGCTGTGGCCGTGGAGGACACACTGCGGCTAGGTGCTGGGGAGGGTCTCCAAGGAATTGAGGCAACAGGTCGCACACTGAGGAGCCATTTCAGGTGAGTAGGCGCCCCACTCACCCAGAGCTCTCTGTTGTTCACTTGTGTATACCTGTGGTATTTCCTCAGGTTGCATCTCATTCCCAGCATAAGGCGCTAGTCGATTCAGGCGCAGCTGGGAATTTTATTGACCGGAAATGTTGCTCTAAGTTAGGGATTCCCCTCCTGCCCGTTGATGCACCCTTTCCTGTCCATGCCCTAGATAGCCGCCCGTTGGGATCTGGGTTGATTAGGGAGGTCACAGCGCCACTAAAGATGAAGACGCAGGGGGGTCATGAGGAGATTATTCAGTTGTACCTCATTGACTCTCCTGCGTATCCCGTGGTGCTGGGGCTTCCTTGGTTAATCACCCATGACCCCACCATTTCGTGGCAACAGAGGGCTCTCAAGGAATGGTCTGGCCAGTGTGTTGGGCGATGTTTAGGTGTTTCCGTTGGGGCGACAACGGTGGAGAGTCCGAACCAAGTGCCCGCAATGCACATTCCCCCTGAGTATGAGGATTTGGCACTCGTGTTCAGCAAGACGAGGGCGACGCGATTG